TATTTTTAGTAGAGATGGGGTTTCACCATGTTGACCAGGATGGTCTCGATCTCTTGACCTTGTGATCCACCCGTCTCGGCCTCCCAAAGTGCTGGGATTATAGGCGTGAGCCACTGCGCCCGGCCATCTATGTATTTCAATTAACACACTGGAATCCAGCCCTAAGAAAGGACTGTTTTTACACATGGCTTCGGAGTGAGCTACTGTAAAAATGAAAACCTGTCGTCATGTGAGGTAGAGTATATTTTCCATAGATGGCCATAACTCCCATCTCATTTTTCTACAATGCTGTCTTCCCATTTTCTCATGTAGAAATGAAGTCTAATTCCTCTCCCTTTTCTAACACCAAAGTATGATGGAAATGACACAATATGACTTTTAAGGATGGGTCACAAAAGACAATGCAGCTCCTACCTTATTGCTGAACATTCACATTTGGAGTCTTGAACCACCATGTCAGAAGTCCAGCTATCCCAATGCTACCAAGCCATGTTAAGGATTCCCCATGTAAGTACTCCAGTCACCACTCCTAGTCTTTAAATCATCCCAAGCCAGGCTTCAGTTGTGTGTGTGAACAAACCTTCATATAATTCTAGCTCCCAGTCATCAAATAACTTCAAGTCATCCCAACTAAGACTCCAAACATCATGAAACAGGGTTAAGCCATCCCTGCATTGCCCTATCAAGATTCCTGACCCAGAGGATTAATAAGCATGATAAAATGGTTGTTTTAAGCCATCTGTTATGAAATAAGAGTAACCAGATCAAAACACAATGGATAATCAACAAAGAAAATAAACAGTGTGCCAGTTAGCCTGTAGTTTAATTAACTTTTGTCAACATATGTATCATGTGTAATTATAGCAAATTAGCAGCAAGCACATCCCATTTTGTACCCTAAATGATGTCCACAACATTCTTGTGGACAGGAGAGACTGACTTTCATCTATATACTTACATATGATATTTGCACCCAATGATATATTTGAACTTAGTCTACATGCCCTCAGGTACCTTATCCCAGAGCTCTGAAAGGCCATCTCCTAGTTTTAATGTCACTGTCACATGGTGTCCCTACCACTTACTCCTTTCTTTAGAGAACTAAGCACTCTCATGGTGGTTTTAATTTGCTGAAGAGATGCTACTGAATAAATAGTAGGAGTCAGACATCTACAGCAGAAATGTCAAGGATTCCCTTTATGTTCAGTCGTTATTATGAGGGCTGAATACTTCATTCTTTACCTTCCACAATACTGGACTTGGCAAGGTATCCAGAAGAGGATTTCAGAGCACCGCTGAACACAAAGAAACTGGCACCAGTCACTAAAACAGCAATAGAAATAGTTTAGTGAAGACAGACCCTATGCTGGAGGAATTGAAAACAATAGCAAAATATTCAGAAGTTGAGAATTCCAACCATCATCATACAGAAAATTTAAAACATCAAATCTATATTCCACAATAAACATGTAGCCAATAATCTGATGCTTACAATAGCTTAGGGAACAAGGTTTTAAGATATGCTACTCCATTTTGTTTTGTTCTTCCTCTAATTAAGAATCCAAGTGGCCAGGCCTGGTGGCTCACGCCTGTAATACCAGCATTTTGGGAGGCCGAGGTGGCTGGATCACAAGGTCAGGAGTTCGAGACCAGCCTGACCAACATGGTGAAAAACCGTCTCCACTAAAAATACAAAAATTAGCTGAACATGTTGGCACGTGCCTGTAATCCCAGCTACTTGGGAAGCTGAGGCAGGAGAATCACTTGAATCCAGAAGGCAGAGGTTGCAATGAACTGAGATTGCACCACTGCATTCCAGCCTAGGCAAAAGAGCAAGACTCCATCTCAAAAA